GTAATCATTTGCCATAAGTGGTTGATTACGGAGAGCAGTCATTGCAAAGCAAGTTCCTTTTTATCCTTTAATATGAACCCTGTAAACAAGGCAAACCTGTCTGCCTTTTCTCAACAGGAGACCTAGTAGATCTAGAAAAAGCAAAGCCTGGTTTTTATGTATGAAATGAATTGACATAGTAGCTGTAGTCCTAGGGAAGAAACTGGTTGCCTGTTGCTGACAAGCTGACAAAGCTACAGTTAATTTAGTTATCAGTGCCATCAGAAATCTGAGGATAAATTATAACAGGAAGTATAATCCAAATGGTCTGTGTATCAATTAAGATGACAGAGACTTAGTCAGCTATCCTAGGCCCCTATGGTCTTGATGGCTTCGTTGGGGACTGAGATCCTAGGACAGTATCAATCTTTGGCCACCAGGCCACGGAGACCTGAGAGACTTTTCCTGTGGAGGGGGAGCATGTGAGGGACTGTCATTACTTTGTCTAGGCAAAGTGGCGCAATCCACTTTGTACTGCTTGTCCACAGTTTGGGTGGTGTCTTAGGGTTTCTACTGCTGTGATTAAACACCATGACCATAAAGTATGTTGGGGAGGAAAGGGTTTATTCAGCTTATACGCTGACATTGCTGTTCATCACTGAAGGAAGTCAGGACAGGAACTCAAGCAGGGCAGGAACCTGGAGGCAGAAGCTGGTGCAGAGGCCAGGGAAGGGTGCTGCTTACTGGCTTGCGTCCTTGGATTGACCAGCCTGTGTTCTTATAGAACCCAGGATCACCAGCCCAGGGATGGTACTACCCACCATGGGCTGAGCCCTCCCTCATTGACCACTAATTGAGAAAATGACTTAGAGCTGGATTTCATGGAGGCATTTCCTCAACTGAGGCTCCTTCCTCTCTGATGACTGTACCGTGCATACCAAGCTGACACACAAAACAAGCCAGTACAGGTAGGGTCCTGGCAGCAGTTAGGGCATTGGGGAAGTTATGCCCAGTGGTAAGGGTCACCACAATTCAGGTGAAGTCTTTGTGATCCATCATCTTTTTTGGAGACCTTGTGGTCACCACTAGGAGCTGGGGGTTCTCTGTCTGTTATGGTAACCTTTTTTGCATTTAACATTTTAAGATCTATATTCAGCTGATATCTGGCAAGTTTGAGGACCATTATCTATTAGGTATATCTACACTAAACCACCTTTGCTTGTTTCTAGTTACTAGGTTTAACCTTGAAAACACACACATAGGAAGCTCAATGAAACTTTTTCCTATAATTAATTGTATTAGTATTTAGTATGACTACAAGTATAGTTCTGAACATATCAAATAATTTGATCCATTAATTTGTGTGTCTTAATCATCTTTAACAATTTACAGTAAATTGATAGCTTTTTATATGATTAATATTTTAAAGCCTTATCTCTGCTACATTTGTGCCTTAAAAATAATTTACAAATTGTATCTCCTTTTATTATCAAAATAGATAATAGATATATACTCATAGATATAGTCCACAGAGAGACTGCGAACTCTCCTGATTCTTTTAGAATATACCATTATAGAATTTAACAGTTTCTTATATGACTCAGGTTATCAAAATGGCTGAAGCTTAGCAAAGTTCACAAAGACAAGGAGGCTAGAAGTACATTTTTAAGCCTGAATAGACTTTAGGTCGGGAGAGACAGTCTGTAAGCCAGTGCTTCTCAATATCCTAACACTCTGATCCTTCAACACAGATCCCCATGTTGTGGTGACCTTGCCACTGTAATGAATCACAATGCAAGCATCTGACATACAGATGGGTGTAGTTAGAATTTTCTTTGTGCTGCCAGCTCACAAATAACGACAGTAGACTTATTATTAATTATGAAAGCTCAGCCTTAGCTTAGGCTTGTTCTCAATTACCTCCTATAACTTAAATTAATCAATCCATTCATTTTAGTCTGTGTTCTGTCATGTGGTGTTACCTTTCTTCTGTCTCTACCTCCTGTTTCCTCTTCATCTCTCAGCAGCTATTTTTCTGTTCATTAGCATTTAAAGTATTTAAAGTTTACAAAGCACTCTATCTGCTCCACATGCCTGTGTAATGGTATTTCCTATCCATATGTGGCTAATTCTTTTTGTATCATTTTACTCTCTCTTTACAGACTTTGCTTTATTATTTTTAAACTATTTATTTTTCTATCACTTCAATATCCATTTTCTTTTTTTTCTTCAGCATCTAAGTACATTTTAGAGACATATTATGTCTGTTTAGAGGTTTTTTTCTCTCCAGCTTATCCCCCCCCCACCCCAGCATCTGAGCATATTTTGAAGCATACTGTGTCTGTTTAGAGGTTTTCTTGGTTTGGACCTAGCTTTTTGTGCATCTGCAGCATTTTCTGACCAAATGAGACAAATCTTAAAGTGCCAGTCTGTCCACAGCACGGTTCCATGGTGGTGTTTGGCTTAAGTCCACAGGAAGCAGCCAGGGGTTTCAAATACTTCCACCAGCACCTCCACATCTACCACCACCTTCTCCATCACCTCCTCCACCACCACCTCCTCTACCACCTTCTTCACCACCACTACCACCACCAGCATCACCTCTACCACCACCACCACCTCCACTTCTATCACCAGCACCACCTCCACCAGCACCACCTCCACCAGCACCACCTCCACCAGCACCACCTCCACCAGCACCACCTCCACCAGCACCTCCTTCACCACCTCCACCACCACCATCTCCACCATCACCTCCACCACCATCTCTACCACCTCCACCTCCTTCACCACCTCCACCACCTCCATTGTAACTGCATCCACCACCACTGCTACCACCACCATTGCTACCACTACTGCAACCACCACAGGTCTACTTGACTGTGTTGTTCCTGGTGACAATTCCACCAGAGTCTCCTCAGGTTGAGCTCCTTGGATTCCTAGGAGGACCCAATTCCTGTCACCTTGCTTGGGAGATACATGATGGGTCCCTGCTATTCAGGGAGCAAGTAGGGTTAGGAGAGGAGACTGGGACATCTCACAATCTCTTGTGGATTAGCTTTACCTCCCTGTTTTCAGTAATGCATCCTAACTTTCAACTCAGCCCAGATGTACTGATACCTTCTTCTCAGAGCAGACCAGTCTTCTGACTGCAACTTCTCACAGGACGTCTTGCCCTTGGTATCTTCCATCCCTGTTTGCCTCCCAGGCTGGTGTGTGTATCACAGTGTACAGTCTTTCTTGAGTCATTCTGTTCAAGTCAGCTTGAACAGTCAGCCCTGTGTCCAGGGCTGAAATTCTCTTTCTTTTCTGCCTGTCTGATTCTCAGCTTCCATGCATCTTGTTGTTTCATTTCCTCCACACCTTTCCCTTTTTTCTAGAGCAAAACCAATTTATACTTTAATGAGATTTTAAAGGGAATGAATTTAACATGCTACTTGGATCATCTTTTACTGGAGTCTAAGTTTTCTTTAAGTATCTTGAGTGTCAGACCGGTGTCACTGGAGGTTAGAGTCAGCTCAGCGTTTCAGAGCCCTGGGTGTTTCACTGTCACCAGAGGCCATGCTTCTCCTGTAGGCTGCCCAGTATGGCTGATGGCCACCTGGTTACTGGACTGCCTGAAACTCAGCCATGGTCGCATGCAGCTTTCAAGGTCCCAGTGCTTGCACTACAGTTCTGGAGGCCCCTTCCTGTCACTGGGGCTGCCTCAGGCCTTTCTTTTGCCCTCGTATAATCCCATATGGTTAGTAGGCATTCAGGACTTGTATTCCTAGCACCTGCTGGAAACAGAACCTGGCCCATGTTTGTAAAGCATGTCACTGGGCTTTTCCTTTTCCAGGCTCCTATCTTGGCTTTGTTCTCTTAGTAGCTTTGGAGCTTCCTGGCTCATTCTGAGTTTTTAATTATTTGGTCTTTAATACAAAACAGGCACTAATGGGTGACCATGCCTTGTGCGTCATGACCTGGGGGGTCAGTTTCCCATAGCATGGTCTTGCAGTGATTTGATGCACTGGTTTCACAGGCTTTCCCAAGGCTGTTGGATGTCCTTCAAAGGCAATGGTTCTCAACCTGTGGGTCATGGCCCCTTTCGCAGAGGTTACATATCAGATATCCTGCATATGAGTCATAGCAGTAGCAAAATTACAGTTATGAAGTAGCAATAAAAATAATTTTATGATTTGTGATCATCACACCATGAGGATATGTGTTCAAGGGTCACATTAGGAAGATTGAGAATCACTGTTCTAAGGAGTCTTTACATATGGCTCTTGGTTCTACTTCTGCATTAGTTGCTTTTCTATTGCTATCCTCAAACACCCTGACTAAAGCATCTTAGACAGAGTGCTAGAGTCCATGATGGCAGAGCAGAGGCATGACACAGGAGCAGCTGAAAACTCACACCTGGATCTGCAATCAGCAGCCAGAGAACACTGGGAATGACTTGAGTTTTCTGAGAACTCAAATTGGTCCTCAGTGACATACCTCCTGAAATAGGCCATACCTTTTAATCCTTCCCAAACAGTCCCAGCAACAGGGGACCAAGTGTTCAAACATAGGAGCTTATGGAGGCTGTTCTCATTCAAACCACCACAGTCTGGGACCTCGTACCAGTACTATTCCATAGCAAACTGTAAGCAGGTACCACCTCCCAGAACAAGTTTGGCCAATATGAAAGATGTGTGCATGAGCTTGTGCCCTGCTGAGATGTTTATACTTTCCTCCAAGGCTTCCAGGGTGATGAGGCCACTCTCCAAACTCTCGTGCAGAACCCATTAACCCTTATACCTTCAGAAGACTGTTTATTCTCCCTTGCTTTGTTCTACTGAAAGGGTGTTGTAGTGATGAAGTAATTACTAATTGTATTGTTTTCCCTTATCAAGAGCTTTCTCACTGGAGAAATGTAGCCTTGCATATACATGTGCATAAATATTAAATGAATTAAATACATGCATTAAAATGAAGGGAGAGTAATTCTTGATTCATGTTAAGACACTTACCTGAGTGTGTTTCTTTTCTTAAAGTTGTACCCAGTCTTTGGAATGTTGATGGAGAAGTTACAGTCCCTGAACAGAAGCCTGGGGAAGTTGCTGAGGAACTAGCAAGCTCCTATGAGAGGAAGCTTATTGAGGTAAGGCTGACCCAGTTGGGTCCCACGACCCAATTCCTGATTCTGTGGTTATCCCTAATGCTGGCTGCTCTGTCTTGACTGAAGTGAGAGCTGCCTGCCACGGCAACTAGCCAGTGCAAGATCCAGAAAGACGAAACACAAAAAGATAAACTCAGAGCACTGGATGAGGAAGGGAAAGTGGGTTCTCTGAAGAGCATTACTTAGCTAGAAACACTTGGCTCCTGTGGCAAGAAAATAGGAGTCAAAGTGTGAGTGTATAACACTAGAGAAGGTCCAGTCAGAGAGCATTTCTGTGGGAGCCCGAAGACTTGGGGCTGCAGCCTGAAACTCATGGTAAAAGAGACATGGTGACTCACTCTTATAGTCCGGTACTATAGAGGCAGGAACAAGAGGACCAGATAAGCTCCAGGCCAAGGAGAGAACCTGTCTAATGAGGTATATGTGATTTCTAGAGATATCATCCAAGGTTGTCCTCTGGCTTCCACACACATGAACTCAAAATCTGCACACATGTATGTATACACACACATGAAAAGACTCTAACCTCAGATGTGCAAGATTTAGAGAAGAACGAATCCATGTCCAACCTCATTCTTGTAAATGTAGGCGATTGTCAGATGCTGTGCATATTTAGTGCAGGATGAGCTGACTGCCAGAAGGGACCGAGCACAGCTGATGGGAGATGTAAGTGTAGTAAAGAAGAGAGGCTTTGGCAATGGCCAGGGACCGAGGACTCCACAGAGAACCTTTGCTAGCCATTGTTTTGAAGAGGTTGCTCTTACCTCTTGGTTCAAGTGTGTGCTCCCCTGAGGGAAGCCCGACAAAAGGTAATATACAGAGGGAAGCATGCCCATGTGCCACATAGGCACACATGTTCAGATGCAGTCTAGGGAAGATTTCTGGTTGAGTCCAGTCACATCTTGATGGAACAGTGCTCACGGAAGCACATACCTGTAATCCAGGAGGGTCACAAATCTAAATTCAGTCTGGGCAACTTAGTGAAACCCTATTTCACAGTTATAAAAGTCGGGGTATAGCTCTGTGGTAGAGTGTGTAATAGTATATGCCAGGCTCTAGGGTCAATCCTTGCCTACAAAGTTAGCATCTAATGATGGTTTAATATTAGAATATTCATCTTACAAGTCACCTAGGTAATAATAACATCAAGAGTCTTTGAATTTTTTGTACATGTGTGCATGTGCTTGTGCTTGTGTGTGTAACATTTATCAAGAGTCATTGTGTGTATGTGTCTCTGCATGTGTTACATTTATCAAGAGTTTATTTTTTATGTTTATTTGTGTGTGCAGGGGAGGGGGCTAGGTACACATACCACAGCATGGCTCCACCACTGAGCCACCCTCAGGCTCCAGGTCACCACTTTCACTATGCTTTTTAAATTTGGTTCCTAAGCAGGAGGAGAGCAGTGATGGAACAGATAACTTGAGTTCTAACTCCATGAGGTTAGGGGAAGGTCAGCTGCGGTTGACAGGATGGACTGGTAAGAAAGAGTCAGAAACCAGGGCCAGGAGAGCTCTGTTCAATTGCTCTTCTCAGTGGGCCATGAGACAGTGTTGGGAGGTGACAGTGCCTGAATACTAGGTCCCCAGAGCTGTGGTGGAGTGAGAAACAGTTCCCGCCTGCAGGTCAGCGTTCTCTAGAGGAACAGACCTGATAGAATGAATCTAGCATCAGTCTGTCTGTCTGTCTGAGACTTACTAGAGTGGCTTACAGGCTGTAGTCCAGCTAGTCCAACAAAGCCTGTCTACCAATGGAAAGTCCAACCATCCAATAGTTGCTCAGGCCATGAGGCTGGATGTCTCGGCTGGTCTTCAGCAGACACTGGAATGCTGAAGAAGCATGCTCTAATGCCAGGGAAGGAATGGACTTGCCAGTGAGAGCGAGGAGCAGGCAAAGAGAGCGATCTTCCTTCTTCTGTGTCCTTTATGTAGGCTGCCAGCAGAGGTGTGGCCCAGATTCAAGGTGGGTCTTTCCACCTCAAAAGATCTGGATTAAAGGTGGGTCTTCCCATTTCAAATGATTTAATTAAGAAAAATCCCTCTGATGTATGTTGGAGGAGGGCTACTTGTTGGTTCCTGGCAGCTTGGTAGCTCAGACCCTAAATAATCACACAGAAACTATATTATTTAAATTACTGCTTGGCTCATTAGCTCTAGTTTTCTTATTGGTTAACTCTTATATCTTAATTTAACCCATTTCTAGTAATCTGTATATTACCACAAGGCTGTGGCTTATTGGGTAAAGTTCTGGTGTCAGTGTCCAGCGGGCTACTAACTCTGCCTTCTTTGTCCCAGCATGTCATTTAGTTTCCCCCTCCTCCTAAGTTCTGCCCTATCAGCAGGCCAAGGCAGTTTTTTTTTTTTATTCATTAATGGTAATCACAGCATACAGAGGGAAATCCCACATCAGATGTACCTAGTCACTTGGGTCTTGGTTAATTCCAGGTGTTGTTAAGTTGAAAACCAACAATAGCCATCACAGGTGTCTTCTAGTAGATACCAAATTCCTAAAGACAGAAGCTTTGTCCTGCCTAAGTCAAGAACTTTGTATTGACAAATAAATGATAAGCAAGCTTTGAGTAAACGTATTTTTAAATTCCCCCAGGACAGGGCTGTGTCCATTTAGTCAATGAATAAAGAATCCATAAGCCAGGGGAAAAAGGGCTATAGAGTGAAGGTGGGGTGGGGCTATAGAGTGAAGGGTGGGGCGGGGCTATAGAGTGGAGGGTGGGGCGGGGCTATAGAGTAGAGAGGTGGGGTGGGGCTATAGAGTGGAGAGGTGGGCGGGGCTATAGAGTGGAGGGTGGGGCGGGGCTATAGAGTGGAGGGATGGGGCGGGGCTATAGAGTGGAGGGTGGGGCGGGGCTATAGAGTAGAGAGGTGGGGTGGGGCTATAGAGTGGAGAGGTGGGCGGGGCTATAGAGTGGAGGGTGGGGCGGGGCTATAGAGTGGAGGGGTGGGGTGGGGTGGAGGCTATAGAGTGAAGGGGTGGGGTGGGGCTATAGAGTGAAGGGGTGGGGTGGGGCTATAGAGTGAAGGGGTGGGGCTATAGAGTGAAGGGGTGGGGTGGGGCTATAGAGTGAAGGGGTGGGGCTATAGAGTGAAGGGGTGGGGTGGGGCTATAGAGTGAAGGGGTGGGGTGAGGTGGGGGCTGTAGAGTGAAGGGGTGGGGGCTATAGAGGAAGGGGTGGGGGCTATAGAGTGAAGGGGTGGGGTATTTCATCATCAGAACCTGATAGAGAAGAAAAGAAGGGCTGTGACAGTTGGAGGATGACCTGCCAGGGGAAAACATGTGACGAGCAGCTGACTCTCCAGTGTGTCCTATGGTTCCATGCAGTGGGCAGGCTTCATGCCCATGACTTATGGCTTCCAAAGAGTTGCTTGAGGAAGACTCAGTGCTTTCTGGCTACTGAAAGTAGCAAAGTTAGTCGATTTGCTAGATTTTTCAGCAAGAGAGAAGAGAGCATCTTATCACAAACACGTATGCTCTTCATGTGCCCTGGGATGCTGAGTTCACTGAGGAAAAGAAAGGGTTCATGTGACAGAAGGGACAGTCACTGGTAGTATTCTAGAGAACTGAGTGGGGAGTAGAGGGGTGGACATGCTATAGGAGAGGCCACAGCCGCAACAGCATCCATGCAGTGCAGGTGTTTAGAGATGCTGTGTTAAATGTGAGGAGAAAAGCACAGTTTAGTTGTTCAGTTAAAGCAGGCTATATTTTGGGGTACACATGGGACTCTCCAGCTAGCTGTCTCACCCTAAGTCAGGATTTAAGAAAGCAGCCTTTGCTAGACTCTTGAGGTCTTTTTCATAGGATGTTGGGCCTCATGAAGCCTGGGCATGAGGCCCAGTATAACTTCCTGAGCCTAACTTGAATTTGGAGACCCATCTCTGGCTACCCAGCCTAGGCCTGGCTCTGCTAAGCCACCACTGCCGTGGCAGAATATTATTGACCCTGTTCCTTACTCTGCCTCAACCCATCCCATGCTTCTCCACCTCCATCACAACTCTATATAAGCTCCTGCTGGATACCATTAAAGGAGTTCCTGCTTTGACAGACTCCTGACTCAGTGGATGTGTTTCTCCAGGTCGCTGGGGGAGGGCTGGGTGGTTCTATGGGCTCACCATCCTGCTCAGCCCCAGGGAGAGTCTGACTCTGCCCATCCCCCTTTCTGCCAGAGAACCCGGCAATAGGAGAGATAAGGTGTTACAGGGACAAAAGAGTCATTGTTATACATTGTTAGAAAGATATAATGACAGGGAAGGAGCAAGGGTAAGGAGATATATTTAGCTTGTAAGTATTTAATGTAGGACAAACAGGAACTGATAACTGTCTTAACCACAGACAGAACCCTTAACCTGCAAGGTGTATTTTTCCTGTTTTGGAGGAGGAAGAGAAGGGCATTGCTCCAGAAGAGGGCATCAATATGTCTCTCACACATTCCATGTTATTATATGCCTCTGTGGTGACCTGGAGTGGACCAGGCTGGGCGTTCATAAGGGTTAATGTGGACAGAGCCTTTCTAGACATATATTTGTAGCTGACCGCAGCTTCGGCATACATTTAGTGTTCTGTAGATGCAGCTCCCCACAACATCTAATGAGTAGACTCAGGTACCTTGTAAAGTACTGGTAGGATATTGAGTGTGGGTCCTGGAGCCCAGATTAGAGTGACAGAGAAGTCCTAAATACGGATTCTGATGATAAGTGTTAGATGTTTTCAGGGGAGAAGTCCTAAATACGGATTCTGATGATAAGTGTTAGATGTTTTCAGGGGAGAGTACTTGTCTGGTGTGATCGAGGCCCCAGATTCAATTCCTAGCATGACAAATAGTAAAAAAAGGAAAAAGGCTTCTGGGAGGAAACACGAGCCCACAGAGGAGGTAGGGCTGGAGGACCCAGGGCAGCAGGCATTGCTCAGGATCAGGGGATGCTGAGCTTAGTCTGGGGAGGACCCAGAGCAGCAGGCATTGCTCAGGATCA